AGAGAGAGAGAGAGAGAGAGAGAGAAATCCGTCGGCGCAGTACCGAGCGAGTCCTCCGGTGATCTCAGAGCGCTGCTTTTCTCCTCAACAATCAAAAACTGAGATTTGCTGAAAGAAAGAGATTTTCCAGCGCGCTCATCCACACACATCTCGCCCGCTTCTGCTGAGGAGAAAAGAAACATGCGCTGAATGAATGAACGCAGACCGTCTGCGCGCGAATGACATTATCTGCACCGGTTCGCGGGGTTTCAGAGTCCAGCGTGAAGAAGATGAATTGATGGTGTGTTTTCTGTGTGACAGAGGCACAGATGGGCTTCAGCATGACTTGCCTCTGGATTTTAACTTTGGCCATCAGTGTTCACAGAGGTAAGACACGAGCCGCCTTCACAAGCAGCCAAATGACTCCATTCAAATGCGTCTGTCTCTCTGTCACACGCTCGCGCACAGCTGAATGTGTTTTAAGTTAACTTAGTTACTATGCTTTGTTGTATGATCTCGTGTCATGGTTTTTAAATAGTAGGTTTTGGACAGTATCACCCACTGGTGACCTTATGCGCGTGTGTAAATTATTTTAAATGCTCTTCATTTTTGAGAGAAATGTCAATTTTATAGACTCAGTATATTTCGTTTTTTTATGGCTGTTATTAATGGCAGCTTGCAGGATCATGTTCGTACCTCCGATCCGCCGCCGCGCAGCTCGTTCTATGTAACGTAGTTCAGGGTCTCGTGCCTCCCGTCTTGCTCGCGTGCGCGTGACTGTGCAGTACAAAAACCGTTATCCGCGGTACGCATCACCGGTGACGGCGATATTTGACTGGGAACAAACCACGGCTAGATGAGGTCCGCGGACGAACGTGACTGTAGTGTAAAGTGTAACAGTAAATGTGACGTGAAGTGAAGTGAATATGAATGAAAGGTGAGTTCCGCTTTGCCGCCAAGAATGAATAAAACAATAAAATAAAATAAACGTGTTGCTGCATGTGTTTGTGTGTTAATTTTTTAGATTTAAATTGGTTAACTGTAACTTATTACTGTAGCTATATGGTGAAAATAATCTTATGTTTTAATACATGCATTGAAATATGTAAGACATGTTACACATGTTATATGTAACACATGTAAGGCATGTAATTCTAACAGAAAAATATTCTTAAAACATGTTTTTAGAAGTAAACATGATTAATTAGCTTATACATTATGGAAAAATATATTTAGTTTAGTTTTACAAATATTGTTGAAATTATATACAGTAGCCTATAATATGTTATTAGTAAGGAATAATTGCGAATTGTTTTATAGAGTATGGAGAAAGGGACATTCCCAGAATTCACAGTGGGAACACTTTTCTTTGGACTTTATTTAAAAGTAGTAATAATAAAAATGTATTTATGGTAAGTTAATAGTTATTTATTTAAAGGGGTCCTATTATGCTCTTTTACAAAGTCTTGATTTTGTTTTGGGGGTGTACTAGAACATGCTCTCATGCTTGGTGGTTTGAAAAACGCATCAGTTTCCACATAATTTACATTATTAAAATACCTTTCTCCCCATCCTGGCACAAACAGCTCGATTAGTTCCGGCTTTGATGAACTTCTTCATCGTCTCGTCTGATGCACTCAACCAAGCGTTCTAACCACAACCTCGCCC